CCTGAAGTCCGGAACTGCCACTATCCATTTCTTGCTAGCCACAACATTGCGGATTTTGACCAAGTCACCACTGAATTATGTGGCACTCTTCGAACTTGGATCGCCGAGGCGCTCATTTGACAAAATGAGCTGCTTCCCCAGTTTCGCCTTCTCAATATCATTGTATGTGCTAACATTCATGTCACCACTCATTCCTCCTACATTACTCAAGATTAGGGTTATGTTTTGTACTGTATTGATCATCGCCTCCCTATGTACCTGTCTGAAATGATTGTGGCCAAAATGATAGGCGTCTTTGAGGGTCGCAAATCCTTAGATCTCCCTTACGATTGTTTGTTAAACCGTTTTCTCTCCTCTGGGTGTCCCTACTTTTGAAGATAATGAGTTTGCTTCGCCTATTAAACCTATCACCAAATAGACTGTTTCCTAGAGTCAAGCCCATGTCAAGGGGGGGACGTTTGGGACTGGGGTTCCGATGCAGGTGATGATCCCCTCGCCGAGGAGGCAGAGTTTGATGCGACAGATGCAGGTGCGCCGGAGTTGCGTCCTCGATCGTTTTGCAGCTGGCATCATCAGTTCGAGCAGTCCATCACGCACCACCTTGATTAGATGGATGCTAGGCTCGATGCGTTTGATGGCTGCCTAGCTCAGTACACCACCTTGCTTGCTCAAATCCTTTCTCTTTTACAGATGCAACAGCAGCCTCCACCGTTCTCACAGTGATGCTTGATTTTTTGTTTTTTGACAGTTTGTTTTATTTTATTATTGGCCTATTTAGTTTTTGTTTGCTCTTCCCTTTGTCTCTCTAGATCAAAAAGGGGAAGTATAACGTTTTGGTATATTTTTGGGTCTTTTTGGTATATGTTTGGGTTGTTTGGGATATTTTTATCTTTTTGGGATATTGGGTTTGCATTATATAAACTGTTGGGATATAACTGTTGGTACCTTGTGGGATATTGGATTAGACTAATCAAGTTTGGACTTTTATTATTTTACAATTATATCTTGATCAGTTATTTGTTTTTCCTTGATTACTTTATCTATTCCCCGTGCTTTGGATTATATATTTTTGCAGGGTGTTTCTTCAAGGATGTTTGCATAAAAAATGGTGGTTTAAAGGAGTTCATAGTGTTTGTGTTCACTTAGTTGTTGGGTCTAGTGCGTGTGTTTGCTAGGAAAACTTGTTAAAATATTTTGTCTGGGAATTGACAAAGGGGGAGATTGTTAGGTCCCTTAGTCTTGTCAATTCTACGAACAAACATAGTTTATTGAGTTGTAAGTTTCCTAGTAATTTGCCTTGCTCACTCGAGCAAAAAAACTTTGCTCTTAGTAATTTTCTCTGTCTGTAAAAATACTGGGAAGGAATTTTGTGCGCTCAAGCGAACCTCTTGGTGGCTTGAGAGAAGGCACTTAAGGAATACACGCATATTAGTCTCATCGCTCGAGCAAGAGATCTTGCGCTCAAGTAACCGTCACGGCCCTATTTGCTATAAAGTTGCGTTTCAGTCAAAATTTAGGGTTATGGCTTCCAGATTCTCTTCTTGGGTTTTAGGGTTTTCTTCTAGAGGTTTTGTGCTTGTTTTCCTTTGATTTCTTTGTGAGTTTGTTCATGAAGCAAGAGAGTTAGATCAAAGGGTTGTAGGTTTGATTTCATCAATACAAGAGAAGTTCTTCTTCGGTGGATTTCAGAGATTCAAGCGTGGAGTATTCGTAGGAGTTCGAAACTGTGCGTGGTTGTTTATTCGACATGGATGTTATGGATTCAACATCAAGCTGATCAATTTCGAGACGAAGGCGGTGGTGAAAGAGATACAAATGGTTAAAGACAAATTAATTGAGTTTGGGTAATTTATTTTGGTAAATTTCTATTCTTTCTTTCTTTCTTAGTGGATTGATTAGTGGCGTTTCGCCCATGTTTTTTTAATGAAAATTAGAGGTGCCCCAAATGTGGTTTTTTCCACGTAAAAATTGGTTGTGTCGATTTATTAATTTTAAAGAAACAATCTAAATCACTTTCGTATGGGCTAGATAATTTAGATTGTTAGTTTTAATTGTTTGGGAATTGTTGCAATTAATTATGGTCTGAATAACGAATCACTTAGGTTTTTCAAGGACTATTGATAGTTTACCTGAGATCCACCGATTGCCAAAGGGAAGCACAATTCGTCTTACCCTTGTGATTTACCTAAGATCCACCAATTACCAAGGGAAAGCGCAATTCATCTTGCCTCCAAATTACCAAAGGAAAGCACAATTCATCTTGCCCCTGATTTTACCAAAGGGAAGCGCAATTCATCTTGCTCATGAATTTTCTAAGAGGCAGAGTGAAAAATCTAGAAATCCCCTAGATGTTGATTTGTGATTATGTATCAATTTTAAGCAGTGTATAACAATCCCAATCAAACAATCAAAACAAATCGACACAACGATTTTACGTGAAAAAACCACAATTGGACACCTCCAATTGTGATAAAAAACCACGGGCAACAGCCACAAAATAATTCACTAAGAAGATATAAAGGAATTACATAGGTATACTCTCAATTACCTAACGAATCCACGCTCGAATTGAACCAACCTCTATGTGTCTCTTCGAACCTCGTCTTCACCTCGGAATTGTCTTGACGATGAGCCACTCCGGAATCCACCAAAGCGTCAGGCTCGAATTCTTCAGAATCCACAGAAGAACAACTCTCTCTTTTGTGTAGAACAAACAAAAAATCCTTTGATGTATACTCTTTAAACCATGAGTTGAATACTTAATCAAAACATCAAAGAAAACTAGCAAAAATATCCCCAGATATAAACCTTAGAATCCAAAAAGAAGATCTGGAGGACTTGTCCAAGTTTTGGGAGAAACCCAACTACTTATAGAAAACCAAAGTAATCCTAATTCTTCAGAATCCACCGAAGAACAACTCTCTCTTTTGTGTAGAACAAACAAAAAATCCTTTGATGTATACTCTTTAAACCATGAGTTGAATACTCAATCAAAACATCAAAGAAAACTAGCAAAAATATCCCCAGATATAAACCTTAGAATCCAAAAAGAAGATCTGGAGAAGTTTTTCAAGTTTTGGGAGAAAACCAACTACTTATAGAAATCCAAAGTAATCCTAGTTTTGGAAGAAAACCAATTCCTTATAGAAATCCAAGAATCTGTGTTCGCGCGGTCCGCTCGAGCGTGGTAATTCCCGCTTGAGCAGAAGCTTCAAAATTGTGTGATTCATATAGGCTTCACGCTTGAGTGGAAGTTTCCACACTCGAGCGTCGAATCACACCATCCAGTACTTTTTCAGGCGAAGCAGAGATGCTGTGAGCTTGCAATCCCCGCTCGAGCGGGACGACCAAAATTGGAAAATCTAGAAAACTAGATCCTGTTACAAACTCGGTTTTGATCCATGGAAATTGACAAAGGCATGATTCGGGTTGGATTCACATGTAATAAATTCATAGCCTCACTGAAATAAAAGGTGCAAAAACAAATACAACTGAAAGGAGTTTTGTCAAACGGGATTGCCAAGAATAAAACTTAACACAGAGCAATTCATTTTGTCCTCGAATTTCCTAAGAGGCAGAACAATTCATCTTGTCCCTGAATTTCCCAAGAGGCAAAGCAATTCATCTTGCTCCTGTATTTTCCAATAGGGAAAGCAATTCATCTTGCCCTCATGATCTACGAAGTGTGGATTTCATCTTAGTCTAGTGGCATATCTGACCAAAATAAAATTCTCCATCCAGGTTCGGTGGCATATCCGACCAAGTAACGATCTCATTCAAATCCCAAATCCAGCAGCAAATCTGATCAAATAATGGTCTCCGTCCAAATCCCAAATCCGGCAGCATATTTGATAAAACAAAAGTCTCCATCCAAATCTCAAATTCGGCGGCTTATCTGATCAAATAACGGATAATAATATCTCCATGCTGAAAATAATAATGCACAAAATTCATACTTCGCAAATAATAAAAATCCAATATAATACCTTATCAAAATATCTTCATGCTTGGTGTAAGATAAATTGATAGAGAGAGATACAGAGAGAATGAATTATGTATTGATTTATGTATTGAATGTATTTTGTATAATGGTTCAGGAGCTCCTTATAAAGGAGAAGTTTACAAACAATGCACTCAAAAGTAACCGAAAGCAAAGACATCATGATCAGCTAGGACACACTTTACAGCTAATAACAACATAGAATACACTAACAATATAATGCACTAACACTTGGATTGATAATGCAAAAAAAATTCATGCACCGCAAATAATAAAAATTCAACATAACAACTTATAACAATATTTTGATGCTTGGATTAATAATTCAAAAAAATTCATAGTCTCGATGATGAAGCCACACTGTCTTTTTGTAGGGGGTAACTAATCATGCTTCAATTTATTTAGCCATATTCTGGCTCATCCACTCCTCTTGGCCCCAGATTTTAGTGTGATGTAATCATGGCAAAATTTTCAAGATCTTGACAAATTTAGGAGTTGCAAGGTAATTAGTTGCACTGCTTGTTTACAATTGCTCATTCATGAATTGATTTTATTGATATCGGAGCTACTTTTTCCAAAGCTATTGCTACCATAGCAGTAATTGGTAGCTTGGCCATGAGAGTAATTAGTTTCACACCTGTTTTGAGAAGAACATCTTCTTTTGAGATTTGAGAAACGATATTGAACAATGAAGATAAACATCTTAAGATATCCACCTACAAAATCGAGAATAGTATTTAATAGGTCGTATCATCGATAGAAGGGCACTCCAACATTAAAGTTAGTGACACTCAATGGAAAATATTCGATATTACAAATGCTTAAATCTTTTTGTTTAAATTTTTTTTCTCACTTTTTTATATAAAAATTTATTAATTAAATATTAAATATAATTATTTTAATAAATTCAGGATTCTAATTGATATTTCGAATAGTTTGGGGAGGGTAAAATGAAGCTTCAAACAAAGTTTCGGTGCCACGTCCGGAAGTTCCATCTGATTATAGGTGACAAAATTGATCCAAAATTGAATAGCTTCTATATAAAATTGAAGGTCTGAAATTAAAAAGGAAAACAAACTCACATCACACGTACATTACATTATCATTCTCTCATACTGACTGAATCCAAAATAATCTAGTAATCATATAGTATTATTTATACAATTTGTGATAATCATAATCCTCTTCCGCTTTGACTTACTGTTCACTGTTTCTCACTGTTTTGACAAGCATCAAGCTTCATATTGTCCTGTAATTTAGTTACCAAAGAGCAAAAATTGTACATGTCAGTGTACGATATGAATTTGAACTCAATCAAGATTGGTTCCAGACTCATAATTCATGAAATTCAAACACATAAAAGCATTATTGATTGTTCAAATCACCGTCAATAGTCTTTTAGATTACCCACATTATGTGATTGAATTGCATAATGTGGGTATTAATACAGATTGACATGATAACTGTTGATTTTATTTTTTAAAGGTCCATCAAAGTGCATTAGATTTTAATAGTTGTCCCAGTATTATATTCTATACAAAAACCTGTGAGAATAGACATTTCCATATTAATGAAATTGGATTGTTTTCAATTGATATTTTTTGATTGGAAAAGAATAAGTTCATTTGAAATCTCACACTAGAAAACATGCCATGTCCAATAATCTATGCAGCGTCCTATAATCTACGCAGCGTCCTGTTAACAAGGACAAACCACGGAGGATCAAAACAAATGTTAGAGAAACAATAAGAGCAATTCCATAGAAGAATGAACTTAGAAATATTGAGCAAGACCTTTTCAATTTAGTACCTAGTTTGAAGTTCGTCTTTTAGGAGTTTGTTCTTGACCAAATGAAGTTCATGGAGGATATTACTTATGCTCATTCGACCTTGTGGTGACTCTGTAGAGCATGCCACTCCAATATTGACCATGGAAATCAAACATTCCACAATTTTGCTGCCATTGTTCACTTGAATTGTTGTTGCTCTAGCCTCTTCTTCCTCATTGTCTAGGAGTACCGGGTCTGCAATCTCCATCACTCGGTCAGGCAAGGCCATTCTTGCGAAGTTATGAAGATTATGCCCTTCCTCAAACATGTTCTCTGTGGGTCTCTTCCCTGTTATCATCTCCAATAACAAGATCCCATAACTGTAGACATCACCATAAGTTGAAATCTCACATCCAAGCCCATACTCTGCCATTAAAACAATTCACATTCAAAGCCCAAGGATCATTTTCCGCAAAAGCATATTGATACGAAAGAAAAAGGAAAAATCAACTATGATAAATATGAATTCCATAATATGAAAGCAATACATTCTACATATTCCAGTAAGATATTCTATTAGAAGAAGGGTAAAGAGTTGTTACCGGGAGCTACATATCCGATGGTTCCCCTTACTCCAATTGAGCTACTTTGATTTGGATTGGTGAGCTCTGGGAAAAATCTAGCTAGACCGAAATCTCCAATATGGGCAACCATCTCACGGTCAAGAAGGATATTACTCGGCTTCAAATCACAGTGAATGATGGGCTTTTGGCATTGGTGATGAAGATAATCGAGCGCACAAGCCACATCTATGGCGATGTTTATTCTTTGTAGAAGGTTGAGTCTCTGCTGCTCATTTTGCCCGTCATTTGTTTCTAGGCTTGCATTCAACCACCTCTCTAGACTCCCATTTGGCATGAACTCATAAACGAGAGCTTTGAACTCATTCCCATGAAAATCAACACTGGAACAAGAAGTTATGATCCTAACCAAGTTTCGGTGTCGAATATTTCTCAAGGTTTCACACTCTGCCATGAAACTCTTGATGGCTCCACGATTTTGAAGGTTAAGTACTTTGATAGCAGCAACAAACTCCCGATCTTGAACGAGAATTCCTCTATATACTGAGCCAAAACTACCAAAACCAATTAGGTTCGCAGAAGAGAAACCATCTGTTGCTTTGAGGAGTTTCTCATAGGAGACTTTCAAGAATGATTCTTTTAACACTGGAACTGTAGATTGAGCTGTTCTTTGCTTCTTGAACAAATAAATTGTAAAGAATGACAAAAGTGCTGCTCCAACAAGTACAGAAGCTGCTGTAATTGCCAATATATGTGAAAGAGGCATCTTATGTCTTGATTTCTTGGTGATGCAACTCGGTAGTTGTAGCTCAGAAATACCCCCACAAAGCCTATGATTTCCAACAATTGATATTGCACTTGCATTTGCGAAAACTCCCTCCATTGGCAACTCACCCTCAAAATCATTAAAGGATAAATTGAGAATCATTAGGGAAAATTTCTCTAAGAATGTCAGAATTTTTCCAGACAAGTTGTTATGAGAAAGTTCAAAGTTTTTAATACCTCTCAAAGATTCCAATGATAGAGGAATAGATCCTTGAAAAGAATTTTCCTGCATATAAAGGTTTTCAAGACTAGTGCAACTACCAAGACTGCTAGGAATTTCACCAGACAACCTATTCTCAGAGATATCCAATTCCATTAAATTTTTAAGGTTTCCAACCTCTGTTGGCAAGGAACCAGACAAACGATT